TCTCTCTCTCTCTCTCTCTCTCTCTCTCTCTCTCCTAATCATCTCCTGCTTTAGGACCTGATCACTCATGGGTGCCTGTGATCAGGATACAGTCTTTTCTAATAAGGCATATTTGAAGGGTAACCTCGGGCCGGCCTCATTTCTACAAAGCTGATTTCTTTTGTGCCGATGGTTTCCAGTACCGGGAACACTTCAGACTCGGGGGGTCAGGGGCTCAGTGTGACAGCTCACTGTCAGGAAGCGCTCTTCAGCATCCTGGGGTTGCCACCCCAGGCCTCCTAATCCTCTGCATTTGCTGCACACTGCTCCACTAGCCAGCCTGGGGTACACTTACTGTGTTTGAAGAAAGGTCAGCAGAGAGTGGCACCTGGGGGCTGCACAGGCTGAGGTCTCTCCACCAACCAGGTACCTGGTGCCTCTGACAGCTCCTCGGGGGACTTAAATCTGACACTGATCAGTAGGCCACCTTAGATCACCAGATTTATGAAGTCTTTACCAGAGACACAAGAATGTACGTCTTTCTCTTAAGAGAGCCGGTGTGGAGCAAGCGAGCCACATCCAATTCTATTTTCAGAGTGTACACATCAGAAACATGTGGTGATATATTGTGTCTCCCAATATATTGTGTACCCTAATAAAACTTATCTGGGGTCAGAGAACAGAACAGCCACTAGTCTAGACATAGAGGCCAGACAGTGGTGGCACACACACACCTTTAATCCCATCACTCGGAAGGCAGAGATTCATCTGGATCTCTGTGAGTTCAAGGCCACACTAGGAACAGAGCCAGGCAGTGGTGACACATGCCTTTAATCCCAGGATTTGAGAGCTCATGTCTTGCTTGGGAAAGACATACACCTTTAATCCCAGGAAGTGATGGCAGGAAGCAGAAAGGTATATAAGGCATGAGGAAACTGGAACTAGAGGCTTTTAAGCTTTTAGCTTTTTGAGCAGTTCAGCTGAGATCCAGTTGGGTGAGGACTCAGAGGCTTTCAGTCTGCGGATTTGTGGAAACAGGATTGGTTGAGGAGTTGGCGAGGTGAGGTTGGCTGTGGCTTGTTCTGCTTCTCTGATCTTTCAGAATTCACTCCAATATCTGCCTCCGGTTTTTTTTTTTTAATTAATAAGACCGTTTAGCAATTCACCTTACAGAAACATTTACATATTCTTAATACTCATAAATCTATGTGTGGCCATTTTGTTACTGATTAATCTTCAAAGTCACTTTACACAGACAGAGTAACTCTCCTTGGTACGGGCAGAAAGTCAATCTGATAAGAGACTCAAGCAGCCTTTCATGGGAGGCTGAAATTCGGATTACAAGTGCCTCGTTCTGCAGAAAGCATGGGCAACTCTAGGGAAACTAGGTATTTCTGAAGGGTCTCCAGCTAAGACCTTTTTCTTAGAACTTCCCAGCGGTTACAATCCAAATAGACATTGTGTTGCGTTGAGTTTAATGATAAAACGCACAAATTTTTAGTGTATGTAAAGATTGCAAGTCTCCAAATTTTCTAAAAACTAAAGCAATGAAAGTTCTCTGGTATACAAAGGTCAAAGGTGAGACGTAAGGTTAAAAACAATGCAAGTATTCAGAAGGCCTTGCTGGATCCTCAGACAATTGGGGATTGGGCCTCTAACCATCAGCTGGACTCTGCATGGAGGTCTAACTTAGCCATCTGGACCGAAGTCTCATGTCAGAGACGCGATGGTTAGAGGACCTGAGTCGTAAGCCATGAGAAACAGCCCATTCGTGCGCTGCATTTGAAGGGAGAAGGGAGGTCTCTGCAGTCCAGCCACAGAGGCCGACTGCCTCCACTTCAGCTGTTCGGGGATGAGCTGCATTATCCTTCAGACATGGTTCATTTGGAGGCCGATCTCCAGGGTGGCAGGACCTTTAAGAGCAGTGTCTTCGGGAAACAGTTGGGTGATAGGGCACAGCTTGGGGAGGCATGATCCCCAGTTCTCGTAAGTGGGTTGCTAGGGTTGCTATAAAAGGGAATGAGCTGACCCCTGGATTCCTCTGGCTTCCTCTCTTGCCTTTTGATACACAACACACACACACACACACACACACACACACACACACACACACACACACACACACACCTTTGTGATGCTGTCCAGCATGGGGTCCTTAACAGAAGCCAAACAGATGGGGTCACCTGACCTGGGACTCTCAGCCTCTAAGTCTGTGGGCTACATAACCTCTTTTCTTCATAAGCACCAAGTCCCGGGAATGCTGTTCTAGTAACAACAACGAGGGTGGAAACAAGTTATAAAGGAACCATTCTGAATCGGTGCTGAGCCCGAACGCAGGAACCATCAAGCCCTTCACTGTTGCGAATATAAGGGTGGTTTCAGCTTCACCGTCAGGTGTGCCGTGCCCCTAGGTCTGGCACAGACCAGAGCCATCCCTCATCAATTTCCACAGACAAGTTCCACTTTAAATCAACAGCAGGGCACTAAGACAGAGCCCTGCAATGATGAAAATGCAATAATAGGGAAACAATTTGGGTTGGAACTTCAATTCTTATGGTCATAATAAACACATTTTTTAAAATAAGTAACCGAGGCTGGCTTCGATCTCGTGATCCTCCTGCCTCCACCTCCTTCAGCAAATCTTGCTGGGGTGTACCATCACAACTGCCCAACAAAGTTTTGGGTGCTTTGTTTTGTTGTTTTTTCAAGACGGGGTTTCTCTGTGTAGCCCTGGCTATCCTGCAACTCACTTTGTAGACCAGGCTGGCCTTGAACTCACGGATCTGCCTGCTTCTGCCTTCTGAGTGCTGAGATTAAAGATGTGCACCACCAGTACCCAGCAATAAACATATTTTTAATAAGATCTGGTGGCACTACTTGGAGATCAT